CCCCAAAACCCCAAAACCCCGTAATGATTTTTGAAGAACTATTGATAGAGTAATTAAACAAAATTTTAATCATAATCAAATAATATGAAATAGCTGAATTTAGTCAATTAGTCAAAAGCTTTTTTCTTAATAGGAAAAAAACAGAATCATAGATCATATAAAAACCTTGAATTTATTTATATTTTGTTAATTTACTTTGACTTTCTTTTTCTTATTTTTTATTTTTAATTAGAATGAAACACTAGCCTTTGAATCTTATTCTTATTCGACAAATCTTTCCAGTTTAAGAGTAGAGAGTTTATTTTTGGCTAAAGCAGGAACTTGAGAATAATCTCCAAAAGCTTAAAAATAATCTATGTAGTTATTTGTTGATTACCTTCTACCTTATAATTATCTATTAGTTGTAGAAATTTCACTGTTTTGATACCTTTAATCTCTATTAGAATTGACATTAATTTTATCTTGCTTCAAAATGGATATTGGTTACTACTTGTCATTTTTATCTTATTTAGTTTCAAACATATAGCTGTTATCTGATTTTTCAAATGCACTCATTGGATTCTTGCTTCTAGGTGTCCAATCGTCATATATGATAACTCTTTTTTAAGAATTACTTACAGTTTATCTCATATCTGTATTCTCCACATTTTAAAATAAAACGCTTTCTCTCATTTTTTATGATCCATGCAATTTTTCTATATGATTTTTCAAGTCTTAGTCATAATTATTAAAGCTATCGAAATATTTTCCTATAATTGAGATTTTACTTAGTCTTTTTTAATGTGTCCTCATAAGACAAACTATCATATTCATAGTCCATCTGGCTAAAAAGTAAACGTTGTATATAAGAATAACCAAGAATAATCCAGTCATAATTTAATCATTTTTCTAAACTTCATGCTCTACAAAAAATAGACCTCCAAATAAGACAAGAATCTAAATTTTCTAAGTTATATGATAATATTACCGAAGACATAGTTGAAATGAAATCAATGTTGCAATTCCTAGGATCAATGAAAGGATTTAATCTTCTTGATAATGTATTTTAAAAGAATAAAATCAAAATGCTAATAAGAGCCTATAGTGTAATTATTTGACATTATTATTACTTTAGCTGACTGATTTTACTTAGGGACAAATGCTCCTGTAGCTATTATAATGAATTTTCTTAGATTTACAAAAATCACTTCCCAGTAAAAAGTTTTATCATTCAGTCCTACATAAAACAAGCCAAACATTTTAAGGTTATCAGGGTTATCAAAACTGTCTTTTATCTTTAATAGTTGTATAAATATGTAAATTGGAAAGCCAATGGTCCAAATTCCCATGATAATCACACCAATAGTCAAACTCATTTTCAAATGTTTTTCATTCCAGCATTAAATGCTCATATCTTTCCTCAAATAGTAGTTTCCATCCTCATATTTCATACAAGAAAATAGAGAAAATGTATTATTGGTAATAATTGGATTCAAAAGCAAAATTATGCAATAGCAAGTGACTTAAATATTTCTGCTTGCATTAAAACTTCTATCATTTCTTTTAATCGTAAGTTTAACCAAAAGCCAAATAATAGCTCCAATTATGCTCAAGATAATAGGAGTAATCCCATAAATTATAATTCTAAGATAATAAGATTCTATTTAGAAAGCTCCTAACTAATAGTAAAAGCAATCAAAGGAAATTATATTCTAAGATGAACTGCTGACAAAGGAGAAGACTCTCAAAATTTAATCGACTCTATGAGGCCAAGATAGTTCAAAATCTTTGGCCAGCATAATTATCTAAAAGTAATTTGTTATTATTCTTATGAGAACTGTCTGAGGTTTATTTCTTTTGGGCATGTTTAGGATTGAACTATATAATATATTAGGCTAAGAAATTAATATTACTAAAGAATATAACTAACATAGGCCACTATAAGAAAAAGGATTCCAATAAGTTAAAGAATCTAAAAATGCAGAGGCTAGCATTTTCCACATTCTACAGGCCCTGTTTTAGCATATATTGTTTCGTTTACTATTCCAATACATTGACTACACAACTTTCCCTTATAACCCTCTGAGCATTTCTAAGGCTCTTAGCCTCCTCTAAAAATAATTATTAATAAAACTACTTACAAACAAGCATCTTTATTTGAACATTAATAAAATATTAGAGATTCAGCTTAAGACCTCCAGAGTCCTTAATCTAGCAAAATGCTTGTTCCTCCTTTACATTCAGCACCTTAAGGACATCTTTAGCATTTAGTTGAATTTTGATCAAAAGAGTAGTAACCTCTTGGGCAAGTCACACATTTTAAGTTTTATAATACTTCTCCTTTTAAGCAGCTTCTAAATTTGACTTCAATAGTCAGATCTATAGTATTATTAATTTTTGTTTATGTTACATGAATTCTTAGAATCATTAGTGGTTTTTTGAAGAATTTTATCATCAATTGCGGCAGTTTTAATTTTAATATAGCTCGTATAATCTGGTTTAGCAATAAACTTTAAGGAATCAAATTTGAATATGCCATTCTTTGCTGTTACTCTTGTTTAACCAGATACTTGTAGCTCGTAATCTTCTGATAATAGTAAGGCATCACTTTCACTATCTGTAATTATAAGTTAGTCATTTTAATCATAGATTCCAATTTCAAAAGAATCAGTTGATTCTTGGCCGCTTACCAGGTTTTCCAAATTATTATCTTAATCCCCTTATATCTTTAAATCATATGGGTAGGAACCAAAGTTATTTCCATATTTTGCTTAATTTTCTAGAAAAATATTAGTTCATAATCCCTCAGGCTGATAAATATTATACATTATTGCTCCACCTTTGATATTTGCTTAATTATACTGGAAAGTATTATTAGATGTTTTATAGTTACATTCTATATTTATCATAAATTAAATTAAAGAGTTACTTTGAAGATTGCTCAAAGAGCATTAAAGATTAATTGCGCCACCTTTTTCAAGAGCAAAATTCCTATCAAATAGCGAATTAGATAAATCAATGTTTCCATCAATTAAATTGATGGCGCCTCCTTCTCCGCTCAATGCAGAATTATTAATAAAAGTTGAGTTTAATACTTATAGACTTCTTAATCTATTTAATGATGGAGAATTTACATATTCTATAGCAGATCCCCTCTAACTAGATAAATTAGCAAAAGTTGAATTATTTATAAAAGTATCAGTATCATAAAGTTAAATAGCTATTCCTGATATTTGCAAGTTTGATAAATCTGTAAACTCAGAATTATAGAGGGTGAATTGAGAGTTTTAAACTATAAATGCATTTAAATTAGCCTATCTTGTAGCAATTGAATACCCAATAAATTCAGATTCTTCGATGCTAAATATATGCTACTATTTTGAACTCTAATCCACCTATTCTCTTTGTATATTCTCGATTCCTGCTTAATATACTTATAATTTACTTGAAAGTACTACAATCATTGAGTTAATCTCGGTTTCGTTGTATAAAATATTTCTAAGAACTAAATTTGTTAAAATTGCATCTGATGATTTCAGAAAAAGTAAGGGACCTTAAGATTGTTGATATTTTAAATTGATTATTGATAATGATGATTAGTATTAAGCGGATATTAGTGCACTGAAAGTAGTGATATTTTGGACATCAAAGTTATGTATTTATATTTCTGTTTGATCAAAAATCAACAAACTTTGATTAAGTCCTACCATATTCTTGACCGTGGTATTATCAAATTAAACCAATGACTAAGACTGTGCTTACAAGAGCAAATGCTAATCTTATATGATGACACCTTTTTCAAATTTGATTGTTGCTTTGATAACTTAAATCTAATAATTTTAATTATCTTGGATTTTTTTAATGAGAACTCTAATTTCTTATTTCATCTCATATAACTTCTTTATGTAATCTTGATTGAATAAATTTTTTAAAATCTATTCAAAAGCTTAGTAATCCTCCAAATAAAAATTTCTGTAATCCATTAATGAGAATTCAATCCCATTTCTCTCTATTTACCCTCCAGAAATCAATGCAGGATTTACATTATTGAATAAGTAGAAGATGCTTGCTATGATTGCTGTGTTTCTTGAGATATAGCAATCAATGATGCTCACCTAGCCATCACTTACAGATTATATGACTCCACCAGTAACAGCAAAGTTATCAATGATTGTGGAATTTCTAATTATTAAATCTGACCCTGTCTGAATAAATGCAACTCCACCCGATATCGCATAGTTTTTAGTTAAACTAGAATTTATGATTAGGCAACTTGAGTGTTTTCTTTCAGCAAATATTATTGATCCTCTTCCTAAGCCAAAATTATTCGTAAAAAAAGAGTTGGATATAGTAAGGTTTGTGTTTGATATCAAATGAAATAGGCCTTCTTGTCTTAAACGATTATTGGTAAAAACAGAACTTTATATCATTACAGATTAAGGGTTTTTAATATCAATTTAATTATCAGGCTTTAATTCGATAAATCTACCTTAGCTATCTTAGTGTGTAAAATTCGTAAGTTAAAATTGGCTATTACTCTCAAGATAAAACAAAGCACCATCCTCAACACTATTATTTTATGATAGAATATTGCTTATTTAGACTGAAAGATTTTTAGCATTAAAGCTTTCGGTCTTAAAGAAAGATTAGCCTTAAGCAAGTTTATTGCTTAATACATCAATATTACTAATAGTTAAATTCATCATTTTGCCAAAATCTTCTTATATGGCATAAATGACAGTTCTTAATCTGAAGAATTATATCGAGGAATTCAGTAATTTCTGCTGATTTAAATATATTGAGTTAGAACCAATTTACGGTACTGTAATTGTAGACATATCAATGAAGAAGCAATCGAGACTGAAGATATTGCTTGAAATATTTTATGCTATCAAATCTGTCAACTTCAAATTTGTTGGATTTTGTAGATAAATTAGGCTATTTGCGTCTATTTTAGAGTCATGAATTTTTAATGTCATAATGTCTGAATTTTAGCAATCAATAAGATTTAAAGCTCTGATTTGTCCAAAATCTACATGTGACATTTCAAGATTAGAGACATTTGAATTTTACGAGCCAGTAATAGTTATCAATGAGCTTTAAATAGAAGATAATTCTGATTTTGAAATTTCTCTGAATTTGAAATTTTCTAGGATGAGTTTTGAAGTTGCTAAGAAAAATCCAGTTGATAGCATCCCTCCTGTGATAGAGTTATTTTTTAAGGTAATTGATTCTGCATTTAAGATTATCATTGACTGAGCAGTTTTTAAATTAGAACAGTTTATGAAGCTATTATTTTCGAAAATAATATTAAGATTCTGATTATTATCTTGGAAAACTTAAATGATTCCTGAATCCTAAAAACTGTTATTGATGTAGGTGTTTCCTCTAAATATAACAGTTTGCTAAAATCGTGGTTGATAGAGGAATTTAAACAAGAAGCCTACATATGACAAAGACTATTAACTGAATTCAAAAGTATTATTCTCAATGACCAAAGTTACTGAATGATCTATCTGACAAGGATTAGAGTATTATTCATGCAGTAGCACTCTATCTGGATATCTCCAGAACATATCTAAGAACTTATTATTAGTGATCTGCATATTAATTCTCATTTAAGTATATATTAAAGGATTAGCACCAGCCTAGTTAACATTTATGATAGTGTTTCCATCAAGGATTAGATTTCCCTAAATCTCTTTATCTTTATAGTCATCACAATCATAAGATCCTAGTTAAAAGATGCTTAAAGTATTGATAGAAATGTCCCAAAAAGAGCTCTTGACCATTAGGTTCATTCCATCTTGAGTAAATAAGATGTGTGATTTAAGAAGCATACTGCACTCTTCTAATACAAGCCACTTGTAAGGTGAGTAATATCCAGTGAAGAATCCACTAATTGTGCTGTAGGTCCTTATTTCACCATCTTTTAAATTAATATTTTTAATAACGACGCCTGAGTTAATCATTTGAAATTTGAACATAACAATGTTTAGGAAACTGGCATCAATGATGCCTTTATTGACCAATGACTAAAGGTTATAAGGTATAATGGTTCCATTTGTGTAAAGTGTTGGATTAAAACTTGTTAGGTCTGTTCTGAAGTAGTTCTTTTCTTCACAGATAATTGTTGGAGACAATATATTCGTTTTATTCTGTGATTGATCTTCATTTTCTGTATATGGTCTATAAGTATATTAATATTCTTCGTATAAAAATAAATGCGTACAGGATCCTTAAATTAAGGTTGACTAAAATCGGCGACACTTTAATGTAAAACAATGTAAGGGATGTATTTTGCTTAAGGTAAATAGTAACGTTTCTATGAATGTTTAAGTCAACCTAATTTATGATTTCTCTGAAAGGATCATCCAATTACTTATAAGGAAATTCGATAGTTCCCAGTTCGATACTGGTCTACTAGTTAGAGGAATCAATGTAGTAAACTAACTCTACAAAAATTATATTTCAAAGAGGGAAGGCATTACCTCTACAATAACGAAACTCATTATTTTTGAAGTTATTATTTCTGACAACCATTGGTAAAGTGTTTTGTGGGCATTAGTCATAACATTATAATGTTTGTAAATCCTTGTAATTATTTGGATTAATACATTGAAGACAATCAGAGAGACTCGGTCCGACGCACCATGATTCTAAACAGTTATTGTGGCAACCTAAAAATTAGATCCATAGAAGTATATTTACTTTCACAATTAGCAGTGGTAATATCGTAAAATAAACCAAGGGGGCAGTACATTGGAAGAACTTGCTCGATAGCCATTAAAACAAGAATAAACTTTTTCCTCATTTATTTATAATTTCTTAATATTCTTTACTAAAAATTCCAATCAATAATAAAAAATCATATTATTTTTTACTTTATTAACTAATATAAATTTCAAATTATTAATCTATTCTTAAGGATATTGTATCGAGGGGTTTTGGGGTTTTGGGG